ATTCGGCTGAATACCGAGCTGAGAAAACAGGCTGTCAGCGACTTCGAGAAAAACCTCTGCAAACTGATGAACAACTCGGTGTTCGTTAAAACCATGGAAAACTTGAGAAAACGGGTGACGGCCAAACTCGTGCGATCTCACGAGGAAGAAAAACTCAGGAAACTCATAGCCAGCCCGGCCTTCAATTGAAGCTAGCTATTCGATAACGACTTGGCATCGCTACACATTAGCAAAAGCCGCATAAAGCTCAACCGGCCCATCTACGTGAGGATGAGCATCCTCGACCTCTCCAAACATCTCATGTACAACTTTCATTACAACCAACTCAAGCCACAGTACGGCGATCAATGTGAAGTGCTGTACACGGACACGGATTCACTGCTCATGGAAATTCGTACCGAGGACATGGCGAAACACCTGCACCTGTAGGACACCAGCGATTACCCCCCAGACCACGCCCTACACAGCACGACCAATAAAAAGGTCCTCGGCAAGATGAAGGACGAATGCGCCGGCACACCAATCGCCGAGTACATCTGCTTGAGACCTAAGATGTAATCTATTAAGAAAGCCAATGACGACGAAATCAAAAAAGCCAAAGGGGTGAAGAAATACGTGGTGAAACGACACATCCAACACACTCTCTTCAAACAGGCTCTCTTCGATAAACACACGTTCAAACACCCCATGAATGCGTTGAGAAGCGACAAACACAACATCTACGGCATCACTCTGAACAAGACCTCGCTGTCGCCCCTGGATACCAAACGATGGATTGCGAATGATGGCATCCACACTTATAGCTATGGGTACCAACAGTTGACCTCGAAGCGTTGGGAGTTTCCGAGACCCCCAATAAAGGAAACTCCACCGATGCGTCGAGACAATTGAATGAACGATAGCGTGTATACATCATGGAGAAGATTTACTACAGCCCTCGGGGTTACTGAAAAGGTGTGAGCGCCATCCCGAAGCTAGCCAAAGCCACTCGTGTTGACGACCGTTGACGACCAAAGATTCGCCAAGGCCTTAGAACGCATCTACAAACACAGTCGCTTTGACCTGGCCAACCAAATTACAAGTAGCTCACTGAAGCCAAGCCATCGTTGAAAGATTCAACAGGACTTTAGCTGAGCGTTTGTTCGGACATCTGTATGCCCAAGAGATGGTCAACCCAGAAAAACGATCGACGGAATGGGTGGTACCGCAAGTGGTGTCGGCGATCAACAATGAAGTCACCCACCCCCGATAAAAGACACGTCAAAGCCATTCGAATGAAATCCGTGACGACCGAATCGGCTGCGCCATCGCGTCACGGCCAAGAGACGAAACTACCGGACCGGGTCGTCGTGAGGTATCTGTACTAGCCCAGTGAACTCGAAGGAGGGGATAAACGTTACGCCACAGACCCCGTATGGTCCATTAAAACTTACCACGTCGACCGAGTGGACATCAAAGACAACAAACCGAATTTGTATTACTTGCAAGACGGACCGGGTAGGGGATTCGTCCGAGAGGAATTGATGACAGTGCCTCACGACACGGTATTGCCCCCTTCTTATTAAAGATTCGTCTTATGTATCTCATTATCAACATGTGGAGATTGATCGAGAAATGGTTGTTCAGACACGTCCGGGTGGACGTCAGTGGCGATATTTACGCCGCCCTGCGTCGAGTTATAAGTTGAGGGAAATTCACCAGCCTGTACGATAGTTTAGGTCTCATGGGCACCGAACGGTTACAACATCTCATGGATACGTTAATCGATTATAGCCTGACAACCACCTACTCCGTAGCTTACTTGGACGAGTTCATGGCAGACCCACTCCACAAAGTCGTCGCCGAATATTACGGCTACATTTAAATCCAGTCCAAACCCCGTTTGCTTTCCAAGCTTATGTAACCCGATTTTAAAACAATTGATTGTGGCTTCTAAAAATTGTTTTCAGCTATAGACTGGTTCCCTTAAATTTTTTAACAGTGACCGGTTTTAAAACTGGTTTCAAACATCCTTTTCGCTACAACCAGCCAGCAACCCTAATACGTCTGTGTGCCTTGCTTTGTATTCAATACCCGCGTGACAGGCCACAGCCAGAGAAATACTCTGACATCAGGTCTAGACGGCGTTGCTAAGCTAGGCTGCCATCTTTGTTTGGCTTAGCAACGACGGGTCTGCCAGACCCGGCATTACTAGGCTGGATGGCCATCTTTGTGTAGCTTAGCAACGAGGGGTCTGGCAGGCCCGGCGTTACTAGGCTTGACAACCATCTTGTTTAACTTAGCAACGACGGTGCTTGTTTCACTTGCAAAAGTTTCCGCCGATACCCCGTCTCGAACTCGCGTCGCTGGATTACGAGTCCTACGCTCTACCATCACACCACCGGGTCTCCCGATCAGTCAATATTCGGAACTTTGGGTCTAGGCTGGCAGCACATCGAAGGATGCCTCTCGATAGACCATCGCTGTTTTTAAGGGGGGCTGGGGAACTTATTTAATAAAAATAAGCCTCTAAGCCGCATGTGCAGCAAAACCCCCCCTCTATTACTACTCCATCGATAGTTTGATGCATTGCTACAGCACTAGCAGACACAGGAGGAGCAGATGTTAAAGCAGATTAATGTTTCTCGCCAACTGTCTAATTACGAAACCAAGCTGCAGGCTGGTCAGCACCTGCTCTCTCGACAGTGACAGACATGGCGACTGGGCGACTCTCCACCTTGGCAGAATTTCTTCAACCTAGACAGTTGGACATTAGGAAGGGTGGATGACCGTTATTTGAAAATATCCCCAGTAGTTCTTGTCTGGTGTAAACGTTTTCAGATTTTCTTATGCCTGGATGGTATAATAACCGATCCAATTTGATCCTATGTCTGTGTTTTTTACCTCGATATCCAATTATGTCCTGTAAAAATATGATGTTTATTACCTGTGCTATGGTATTGAAAACACAAATTTTGATGCATATGACTCCGTAATCTAAACAACCCAAATTGCCATTGCTAGAATAATCGGAAAATTTTACTTAGGTAAATAGGTATATAGGTTTAACTAAAAAACTTGCTGTAACCGGTGTTTGGTGGTAAACCTACACATGTTACTTGTCATCATCCACTTGATGATCAGTTAATATTTATAATATTTATATATAATATTTATAACAGGTATTATTAGTGGTAACATCACTCAGATTACCCAACAAAGGTTCCCATTTGGCATTTCTCGTGTCTGGAGTAAATACTCAACATTATAAAGGAAGGTCTGAAGTGGCAAATGTATTACATGTTATGTAATATGCGCATGGAAGTGCAGCAAGAGGAATTATCAGCTGAGTTACAAAACAAACATCAATCAAACGATTAACCGATAACACGCTCATTGATTAATTGCTTTTATCCTTCACAGAGGATTTGTCAAAAGGTAGTGTTTATGTAAAACAAAATAAAATTAAAACCGACTAGAGTTATAGCAACAATGTCAGGCTAATACCTTGTTCGAGGAATGTATCCATCATTATACCACTAGGGTATGTTATGTCCATTGTTCTGGCAGGTTGGTTTTCTGTGTAGCAACCTTCTATCTGCACGTGTAGAGGTTGATATTTGGATAACAACCTTGGCGGTGCAGGAAACGCACGTGCAACAAGCAATGTACGAGTCCATTCGGCGCCCACGTGGTATAAGTAGGTTAGCACCCCCCCTCTGCGGGTGATATGGATTCAACGTTCGAGCCGTCAGGAGGGTGCTAACGTATACATATCCACATAAAGGAACGATATGCCATTCATCTGCAACTGACAAAGAATCCTGCTCCATGTCATGTGTCTTTTAACAGTATAATATGCGAAAAAGTGATATATTGTTTCAGGTTTTTCACATTAGTGTATGATCTCATTGGTCACCCAAGATAGCACACCTGGCAACTAATTGCATGATGTCCGCCATTCTTTAGAAAAGTAATTTAGTTAGCCAATAATGAGCAATGAATCAATGTATTAGCGGTTAATCCTTTCAAGGAAGGACGTTGTTTTTACACGAACACTTTACGACAGGCTGTATTCAGTATAGATTAGTAAATCTACATTATTCATTTGTTGTAGCATACAGAATCATTTTTTTTCGCCGTGAAGTGTAATGAGACAGACAACATCGCAGATCGCAATTTTGGCGAGAGTGTGAAATAATATATAATCGACATTGGCAGACTATAAAATGTCTAGATATTACAGTCAAGTTATAAATTCACTATAAGTATAAGCAGATCGTGTGCATTTTATTAAGTTTCATAATGCATAAAAATATGATAATAAACTAATTAGGATTATAAGACAAAATATAAAAGTGTACATTGACTTCGTTATTTTTCAGTCCTAACATTTTTTTACTGCTGGCAGCTGGTTAAACTTCAAAATGTTTTCATTTGTTATCAAAATTATGAACATGACTAATATCGAGTGAAAAAGATTTCTCTCTTTGTTGATCAATCTATACTTATACTATCAATTGAGCATGCGGGTGGCGCAGCAGAGGTCACGAACCAATCAAGAATTCTGGGATATCACCCGGGAGAAAAACAATAACAAAAGCAACAACCAGTCCACAGAAATTGCTCTGGATCACTGCCCCTTTAAGGTGTTTCTGATCTCAGCTGGAGAAGTGAAACTCAATCCACCTTCTGAGTTGCTTCCCCTTGATTCTCCCCTGTGCAGGAGTTCGCGTTACACCTCCTAAACACAACTTAAGGGTCTTTTTTTAACTTTCCCCACAAGACTGGGGATGCAAGCTTGTGGCACACATCAAAACCAACTTCCAATATTTACTTGACCCTCATGTAATTACAGTTGAATCGATGAAGCCAGTTTAAGAATTAGTGGGAAATGTTTATTGACGTTGACACAAGAAGTGTCCTTGTGTTCTCATTAAAACTATTCTAAACAATACTGTAATGCACAGAAGGTAACAACAAACACAATTATCTACATGAAACCTGTGAAATCTTGTTACCTGTTACATCTGTAATGCTGGGTTTGGCAGTGGGTGAGAACAGAATTCTCTTGAGGAGGTAAGCTTGCACTGGCGCAATGACAGCACAGGGTCCCCCTTCATACTGTATCAGGGCAGTGGCTTCATCATCACTGAATACCAAACCTGCAACATGAATACACATGTATCAACACGATCAAGCCTATCTACATGATCTACCACTTACTCCATATCAACATGATCACAGCACAGGCCCTCGATCACATCCCTGATTTGTGCGAACCTATAGTCATCCATTTGTGACTAGATCGTTCAGTTGAGGGTCAAAATCGAGTTTCAATCGACTTGCAGAAATAATAATAAAGAATTGGTAGGTGTCATGAGTGGTGATCAATAGGCCAATCATCCATGATTATGTTTACATTAAGCTTTAATCGATTGCATGTGATGCTAGCGTAGCAATCGGAAAAAAACAGACAGGTGAGGTAGGCCGAAGTGTCCGGCCTTGTCATGATTTAGTGTACTGGGAAGCATTTCAAGTCAGGGGGGTCATCTCAATTTTTTTACATTGTTTTTAAAATCTTTAATCCTCGCAAAGAAATGAGCACCTGTGGACCACCGTGGCAAGCTAACATTGACAAATGTTTCTTAAATTGCTTAAACAGATTAAAAGATATTTTAGCAATTTTATGATTATACTTTTTTTTCTTCCTTCTCTGGTTTAATCAGGTACTTTGAGATTATGAATCACAAGATAAATGTAATTTTTTGATTAAAATTGATATTTTATACTTATCCTGACTCATGCTTAATTGCTTGTCTCCTTTTTGCGAATGATAGTGGAACACTTGAATCCCCTTTTGAAGCTCCCTTCAAAAAAGCGGACGTAAAATCACTCACCCAGTGTTATCTCCCTTTAGATGTTTTGGCGAGAAAATCTGTCACATGACCCAACATGCTCTTCACTCTCTCCGAAATATACGCCCGACAACTGGATTACAGGGAATCCAGAGTGCCATGAGGGGAGGTTGGGAGGTCTTACCTCATGAGTCAGGATAAGTATAAAATATCAATTTTAATAAAAAAATAACATATTTTTCCTTATCCTGGCTCATGCTTAATTGCTTGTAGAATCCAACGGAACCGGTGGTGGGTCAAGCCACTCTGGATTCATTGCTGATTTACGTCCTGCATACCCCCCTGAGGGAACTTCTTATAGTACTATGCTGATCCTTCCTTCCAGCTTCCTCTGATGAGTTTGGGGGGACCACAACTTGTCAGATTTCTCTGGAACCACTTCTCCTGACATTAAGTGTGGATTTATACGACTCCACATCTTGATGCCCGCATCAAGTGGAGAAGCAACCCTTCTTCATATACGAGTAAGTCCTTACAAGTATAGGGTCTGTCACTCATGCTGGCCTATCCTAGACGTGCGCATGGACTCTAAGCTCTAGCTCTTCCGAACGTTGGCTTTTACAAGTCACGTGATAAAAGGGTGAGATTCATCTCAGCGCCTTTGAGGAACTGTCAATTGTTGTGCTACAACAAGAGGCCCAAACTGGTGAATGCCGGAGATGTCGTCGGTAGCAATGTCTCTGAGGTAGTGGTTGGCAAACACCGTCTCTGACTTCCAATAGCAGCCCTCCATTATTGTCGAGATGGAGCAGTTTCCATGTAGAGCGAGTGTCAATGCCAGCGCTCTGACTTCATGAGGATTGGAGGCTCGTGGAGGTTCAAGTCCTGCTGCTTTGTAGGCCCTTACGATGACGGCTCTCATCCATATCGATATCGTCGTACGTGAGATCTCTGTAGGCGTCTCCGTAGATAGAGGGATGAAAAGGCGCTTGAATTTTCGTCTCCTCGTCTTAGACCTTTGTAGGTAGACTTTCAATGCTCTGACTGGGAATAAGGATAGATCCTGAGTATCCTGTGGCCCAAGGACTGCCGAGAGTGCTGGGATGTGGAATTGTCTGTCTGGTTGACCGGGCAGTTGGTTCTTTGCTATGAAGTTCCATCTCAATCCCAGATGTATGATGTTGCGATGTGCATCAAACGACATCCAAGCTGCTGTTGCCAAGGCGACCAGGAACAGAGTTTTAAGTGTTAGAAACTCATAGGATGTCCTTGCTAGTGGTTCGTAAGCGTCACTGGTGAGATGCTGCAAGACTACCTTGAGATCCCAAGCAGGCGCTGTAAATTTCTTTTTTTGGTCTTCAAACTTAAAGGAGCGTAGTAGAGCCAGTATCTCTGGTACTTTGGTCAGCTTAACACCCGTCTTCATGGTGATAACCGTGCTGAGGGCCGCTAGGTATGTAGAGAGAGTTGAACCTTTTAACCGCCTCCTTTGTCTTAGATGACAAAGGTATTCCGCCACTTGAGGATGTGTTGCTTTCATCGCCGTGAAGCCCTTCCTCAATGCATATTTCTCAAAACTCTGCCACTTGTCGTCGTACAAGCCGCGGGTTGATCTACATAGAGCTAGTGTGACTGTGTTCGCTGCTCTGGCGGAATATCCTCTCTTCTTAAAGCAGGTTTTGATACGTTCCATGCGTGTAGTTGGAATACTGTTGGATTTCCGTGTATTTACTTGGTGTGCGGATGAATTAGTAGGTTCGGCCACTCTGGGAGTTGCAATGTTTTGACTTCCGAGTTCTTGCATGAGGATGGGAAACCACACCTTCGCTGGCCAGTAGGGTGCGACCAAAATCAGTTGCAGCTTCTTCATCTGCTTGATTTTCTGCAATACCTGCGGTATTAGAGCTGGAGGTGGAAAGGCGTAAGTGTTTAGTCCTTCCCAGGAGATGCTTAAAACAACTATTGCCAATGCTTGTGGATCCGGAACCGGAGAGACGAATGTTGGTAGTTGTTTGTTGAACCTTGTAGCAAACAGGTCTATCAGCGGAGATCCTATCCTCTGTATGATGCATCTGAATGCTTCTGGATGTAACATCCATTCTGTCGGGGATGGTTGTGTTGGACGAGATAGGGCGTCTGCTATCATATTTTTGGCTCCGGGAATGTGACATGCTTTTAAGTTGACGTTCAGGTTGTCTATTATGCTGAACAGATGAAAGCTAAGGTCTAGAAGATTCCTTGACCTTGTTGATCCTTGTTTGTTGATGTAGAACGCCACTGTGGAGCTGTCCGTATGGATCATCAGTTGTGCGTTCCTTAGTATGCTAGACCGTGTAGTTAGGCGTTTATTACTGCTTTCATCTCGAGCATGTTGATGTGCAGATTTTGCTCCTGACTCGACCAATTCCCTGTTGCCACTTCGTTGTCCAGGTGGGCTCCTCATCCTTGAAGTGATGCATCTACGTAGAGATGAGTGTTGTACTCCGGCTCTGATAAGTAGGTTCCTCCGCAAACATTCGACTTCCGAGTCCACCATTGAAGATATGGTTTCAGTCCATCCGGTAGTCCGAAGGAGTCCGGACTGTCTAAATGAGCGTTCACGAACACTTGTAGTTGGCGCAGTTGTAGCTTTCCTCTGCGTGTCATGTCTTGTGCTGACGTGAGAAGACAAAGTAGGCTCTGCCAACTTCGTAGTGGTAATGGAGAGAGTAGTGCTTGAAATATCACTTGTTGTATCTTGACCCAACACTCCTCTGGGACGACTATACGATTTGCCGATGTGATGAGCCATATTCCTAGGTATTGCAGATCCTGTGTGGGTTGTAGTTCCGACTTGAGCAGATTTACTAGCCATCCTAGTTGAGTGAGTAGCCTGATTGTGAAGTCTAGCTGCAGTCTGAGTTGACTGGGATCTTGATGAGCTTGAATCCCGTCGTCCAGGTAAAACGCACTGCGTAGACCTCGACGATGTAGATATGTGATGATTGGCTTTGTCACTCGAGTAAACAACCAGGGGACCGACGATATTCCAAATGGTAGCACCTTCCATTGGAAGTGACGTCCGTTGAAGAGGAATCGTAGATATTTCCTTGAGTCCAGATGTATCAGGATGTCAAGATACGCATCCTGTAGAGCTATGCTGGCGAGATAGTCTAATGGATGTATGAGTTGTCGCAGTTGAGGAAGATGTATCATTCTGAACTTTGCGGGACTGCGTAGATAATCTTGGTTGAATTTCCTCATGTTGTAGATAAGTCGGAACTTTTCCCTGGAATTTTTCTTTGGTACTAAGAAGATTGGGGAGTAAAAACCGGGCCTGACGAGCTCCTGTTTTATTTCTTCGATCGCCTCCTTCTCGAGTAGAGTTATGATGGCGTCGAGTATGTTCTCCATCTGGTCGACAACATAGTTGTGGGCCGATGAGTGTGTGCGACGTCTGACGGATAACACTGGCTAGTGTATCGATGGACTTGATCATCATTACCTCCCTTGACTCTTTTGTTACTTCCTTGGCCACGTCCTCAATTTCCCCTGCGAAGATAGATGATGCTAACCACGGAGCTCTGTATAGTGACTTGGTGAAGCGCTCACTCCAACTACAGGAAGACAGCAATCCTTCTCTTCTCAAGAGCGTCAGGCCCACTGATGTGGATGCCAGATGTTCGGACATAAACTGATGATCTTTCTTTTGGGTCAGCAATGCTGAGTAGATCATTCTATCTTCTTCAGAGGTCGAGTTCCTGAACTTTGCGATGAGGGTTTCATTGATGGCTCTTGACCTGGCTAGACCAAAGAAGGTACGTCTGGTAGTTGTGTCTAGTTGTGCCAACTTTTTATCCTCTACTTTATAAGTCCTAGATCGGGAGTTGTTGATGATCTTGTAGTTCTCATCTATCTTTGGGGCCTTCATGAAGGGTTCCATGTAGTGAAGTGAGAACTTCCTTGCGTTGAATGGCGGGACGCTTTGACTCAGGAACTTCGTTGCCTTCCTGAAGGCTGTGCTGAGGTTCTCCGGTACATCCGAGACAGGATCGATGGGTGGAAGGGTAAATGTATCAAAGTCCTCGTTTGACATCATATACGTAAATGCTTCATTATCCTCTTTAGAAGGTGATGCAAGTTCCAATCCATTTGCCATCCAAGATTTGATCTCTGTATCGGAGAATATGATTCCGCCGTCATCTTCAGATCTAGAGGCTTCTTGTTCTGGAGATCGTTGCCGTTGTGCCTCCTTCCTGCACGGAGATTTGCCTGGAGACTTGCGTTGAGACCTTCGTGGAGACCTGCGCGCAGGCGACTGGTTCGGA